AAGCCGGTGAGCTGGCCGTGACGCCAGGATGCCTCACCCTAGCCTGGGGAGGGAGCTGACCTGTCCTCGCCCGCAGCCTGGGGACAGACCCCTGCTACCCCACCTCTCACTATCCCAACCCCACTTCGTTGTGTTTTCCACTCCAAAATACAACGGGTCCGAGGGAGCTTTGAGGGAACAGGACAATTCGCAGCCTGGGCTTGTGCTGCCTCTTTCTCTCTCAGTCAAGCACAAGGCAACCACACAAACACAACCACCACGCCGAGGAGCGTGGCTCGGCTGCCTGCTGCGGTCACAGGCGCTCAGCTCATGAAGTCACGTAGTGGGGTTTTAGTGGTTATTTTCCACCTGTTGGCCAGCTTTCAGGTCCCATTTCTCCCCTTTTCTGCATTGATTTGTGGGCAAAGCAGGAACCGAGCCCCTGTTTGCCCCCTCCGGAGCGCCGCGAGGCTTCATTACGCTCTTTGAAGACACAAAGTGCTTCCGCAGCGGCAGCATTACCGGCCGGTGAGCTTTCCCTTCCCCTTACCGAGATCCCAGATGTATGAGTCAAAGCTCATGTCTTTCACGTTGCGCTGGAACTCCAGGCTGGAATAAGCCACTGCCAGTTTCTTGCATGTGTCGGGGTGCCAGGAGAGACGCGTGGCTGTCCTCTTGGTTACATTTGGATCCCTTTTGGATAACAAGACATCAAAGAAAGACGTGAGCTTGCTAACAGCCTTGTCACGCCCTGGGATGAGTGTCTCCCAAAGGAGGCGGTGGGAATTGCAATTAAAACAAGCTGAGCCCTCAAGCACCAAGTGCAGGAAGTGATTCTCCTGGGGGCTGGGCAGGGGGAGAAGAGCTGATGATTTAATAAAGTCTTTCCAGTTACACGTTTCTAAGAATCCAATTACCTTACTGGATCTGACTTCTAGAAATGACCCACCAGCCCCTGACATTTGAAAATCATCTTTGAGGCACCAAAAAAAAATAAAAGCCATCCTGTCTAAAGCACCTTAGAAGCTGCTCAGAGCTACCGGACCGTGGTACCGGTCTCCACAGCGCCTGGGCAGGGAGGGGAGGAGCAGGCGTCGTTACGGAGCAGGGGGCTGCAGCAGCTCTTGCTGACCACAAACTGACCCAGTGCCAGCCTAAAGCCACCAGTGGTTCCTCCTCCTCTGTCTCCCACGGCAGCTGAAGACGCCGCAGCCCGCTGCGGATCTGGAGAGCTGCGTGAGCCCAGCCGGCTGCACTACCTGAGGACATTGATGACTTTTGCGGAGGGGGGCTCGTCTTCCACGTCTGCCATCTCCTCCTCTGTGAAGTACTCCTCGTAGATGTCGATGGCGTTGTTCTGCTTGACGCAGTGCTCCATCAGCTGCAGGGAAAATGCAGGCAGCATGTCAGGGAGCCGGGGAGGGGGCCGGCTGCCGAGGGGGCTCTGGGAGCGGGAGGGGGCACGGGCAGGGCCTCACGGTGCCAAGGTGCGTGATGGTGTTGATGTAGTTTTCATCCTTCTCCACTTTCTTCCGGAAGCGGATGGTTTGTTCCACCTCCTGCGGGTTGACGTCTTTGGGCCAGCCGCCCTCCACGTGGTTGACGCCACGGGATTCCACCTCCACCCGCTCGGTGTTGACCTGGAGGGTGGCACAGGGAGAGCAGGGTGAGAGACGGAGCCAAATGGGCGCAAATCACCCCTTGGCCCCCGGCGGAGCAGAGCCCCGGGCAGGCCCCGGCGGCCGCCCTCACCTCGTGCTCCGACATGTCGCTGGCGTGCTGGACGCAGCTGTCCACCGGGTTCCGCAGGATGAAGCAGCCAGCCCTGGCGG